ATTTAATTTGAATAATAGGTCAATTAATTTTAATATTTTAGCTAATTATACGAAATTGGAGCTACTATAGATGTACATTTTGGTATATAATGCTAAGTATTATTATATTTTATATATACAAGATATCACACTGTATAAAATATTATATACATTCATATCAAAAATTTTATGCTATTCAGCTATGTATTATTTATACCAAGTTTCGATTCACATCTTTCTACAGAGAGTGRATATTKACTTACAARTTAATAACAATAATATATGATATATAAATAATAAATATTTTATACTAGGAGACAGGAGTTTAACTAAATATCATTCATAAATGCAATATTTTTGTAAAAAAATTTCAACCTACTATATTACTATCATATTACCAATCGTATTATTATTTATATTGGATATATTACAACAATATATAATACTCAATGATATTAATTGTAAAATAAATTATGAAAAAAGCAATATAAATATATATATGAAAATACACTGAGTAATGAAGGATATCTTTGATCGAAGTAGTTTTCCATAATATGCAATTATTTTCATTGAACATGAATTCAACACAAACACTGAAATTGCAGCCAAAGTATTACAAGAAAAAACAACATTATAAATTAATTAAGCTATTTTAGGCAAGTTATTGGTTAAAGATGGAAATTAATCATTTTTCAAATATTGATAACTGATAAATTTTATCCTAAAAAAGTTCATATTCGGCTTGTATTTATTTTATGTTATGTTTGAAAGAAAAGATATTAAGTAAATGATTTAAAAATTATAATCACCAAATATGTTTTATTTGATGTAATAGGTTTTCTATAATTTTTACTTCTATTATAAAATTAAAAAGGTCTTTAGGAAATTAAAACTATCAATGAAATTTTTTAGAAAAAAAGTAGTGGTCAATAAACTTTATTTTTTTCAATATAATATTATAGTTTTTGAACCAGTTTTATAATATTGTTGTAACTGTTGCCGAGTGCCATAACTGTCCGATATACCATAATGTCTGAACTTCAGTAAGACAAAACTAGACTTAGTTTTAGTATGCACCTAACCAGTGCCATACGCAGAATCTTACAATGGGGGAGGGGGCTTAAAAATAAATACTCAGTTGTAACAGGTACATTGGCTTAAAAAATTGCTTGCTTTTTATTTTTTGTTTAAATTAAGCATTAAATAAACAAAAAATATATGTTAAAAAAAAATAGCAAAAATAATGAGCAATAAAAAATAAAATACATTTTTATTTAGTCCAATCTAATAATTGTAGTCATTCAGGTGATGTTGTAGAACTTCCAATCCGATCAGATTTTCTTTTTTATTGATATTTGCCACAGTTAATCCATTAAGACGTTCCTCCGTCATGGTTCATCTTAAGTACGATTTTAAACGTTTCAATGTTGAAAATGTTCTTTCGGGTGTAGCTGAAGTAATCGGCTATGTGCCAAACCAGCTATAATCAACCTTTGGCCCCCCCAATGGTTTATATGTAACCCAAACTGAACTCATGGAATTGATAAAAAAAATTTCAAAACTAATTTAAGTATAAAATAGGTATAACAGAACAATCAAAGTGTCTCATACGCGTTTACAATATGGATGATTACGTTATTTATATTTTATAACGATTTTGATGTATTTTATCTTATAACTAATCTGGCAGTAGCATGCAGCAACTACAAACCAAATATATCCAAAATAGTAAAATTAATATTTAATTTTTTTACAATAAATTTTCAAATATTATACACAATATATAAATGTATTTTTAGTTTTTTTAACCCCTGTTCCGTTTATTTCAACTTGCTGCCTGCATAATATTTTAAAATATTTTATGTTGCCCAAATAAAAAATAGGTTGAGTATGGCTGTGCCAAACAGTCTTAACAGCACCTGAATATTTAGTAATAAATGTATACAGCAAAGTAGTATATTAATAACCAATTGTGGTTTGTCATCCTTATCATACCACTGACATCTCCACAAATGTAGTTCAGCTCTAAGACATAAACTGTCAGTATATGTAAGATCTTTATTATAAATTTCAGCTGCCTTCGAAATAGAGTCATCATCATAAAAACTAAAATTTGATGGAATCAGTTCTTCCATTGGCATAACATCAAATAGTCTGTCATCATACCTTGTATGCAAAGCTTGAATTAGATACTTTAATACTTGGTCTACTCTAACAACTACTTCTTATTTCACTTGAAGGCAATAAACCACATTTTCTATGGCCATGAAGTGTCAAATTATTTCTTGCACGAAATAGAATTATTTTATAATTGATACGATTCTCTTTCTATTGCTCTCAATTACTTGTTGTTTACGTGTATCAATAAGAACATCAACAGCTTTAATACCTCCACTCTCAAAATGTATCAAATTTTATTTACCTTTTGTGCTAACATAAGATGGTATCTATTTCTTTTTTGCATGATTTTTAAATTCATTAATGGCATCTTTAAATTTCATCTTGGGTTCAGTCACCAATTTCCCCAAATGCTGAAATATAGTATAATGTGTTGTACTTTTAAATATTTAACTTTCTAAAGTTTCATGCATTATTAAACTGATTTGCTATTCCACCAACAGAAAAAACGAATAATATACATAATTTGGAGTAAGCACCTTCTTTTTTATAACTAGCCAAGAAAATGTTGTTAAATGTTTGTACCGAAACTTTCTTTTTCCTTTCAATCTTTTCTGGAAATGCAAAATTAGGTGGAGGTACCCAAGCATTATTTAAACACTTAGCAATTTCAAATTGTTTCAATGTTCGATATGATTAAAAGCAAGCCGCATCATTTGTTGGTATTAGTGACAACTTAAATCAGATACCGAGAATGATTTAATAGTAACTCAAGATATTATAAGAAAATAAGAAACTTTCTACATTATTTGTTTAAATAGTTTAGGAATTATAGTACCAATATATTTGTGTAACCATCTGCATACCATTTTTAATTTACACACTTTTTTAAACGTTATAGCTTTAAAATAAGCTGTGTCATAAGTAGGGTTAGGCAGTGGCGTACCCAGGATTTTCGAATGGGGGGGGCTAAATCTATATCGGTATTCGGTACCATAATAAACACAACGTTTATGCTTTGCTTATACTAGGTCATTGTTACTAAAGATAATACGTTGTATTCAATACCGTATTTTAGAAATATCATGGTTTGTACTTTGTCTTTTTTAATATAAAATTTATTCCAAAACATGGCCAATGGGAGGGGCTGAAGCCCCCTAAGCCCCCCCCTGGGTACGCCACTGGGGTTAGGATATATATGCACTAAAAAATGAATGAATATGTATGCACTTATGCACTAAAAATCAGCTAAATATGCATGAAAAATTTGAAAAATATGCATTAAAAAATAAAGAAATTTTTGGACAAAAATTCAATAAACATTTATTATTATAGACAAATTAAAAAACTGAAAAAAAAATTAAATAAAATATAAAGAAAAATTAAAAAGAGTTGCATTGAATAATTAAAGTTTGTTTTAAATGTTCCGCTGTAAATCTTSGTCTGTTTGGTGCTAATACGTTTTTGAGTCTATTGAACAAAAAGTCTCTATGTAAAAAATTTTATTTATTTAAATTATTATAATTTATAAATTATAATTGAATTTAAATTTATTATTATTTAATTATAATTTATATAATAATTTAATTTAAATAATAATAGTCACCTGGAAAAGCTCCTCTCCACTTCAACAGACGCGCGTCTGAAGACGTAGGTAATTGGAGAAAACTTAAAAAAAACGAAATCCTCCGCAATTAATTCCTCTTCGATCCCCTCAATGATTTCAAGTTCTCCATTAAGTACTTTCAAAATTTGACATACTGTTTTTAATCCACTGTTTTTCTCTAGAATCGTTTTAAATTTACTACATATTTCGTTTCCGATTTGTTCACCGGCTTTGTTAATGTTATCTGTTGTATTATTGATATTGCTTCTGACAAAAGCTGCCCAGATGATTCAAGACGAGTTATATTGACTGATAAAAACCTATAGTTCGATTGAATGTATATTAAATTTGCTTCTAAAGATGGATCATTCAAAAGCGTATGACATTTTTGTATGGCTACAGCATCTTCTGGGTCCAGTTTATTAAAAACTTTGCGTATATCAGCAAGGGCATCCATTGGGGAGGGCAACGGGGGGACATGTCCCTCCTCTGGCTTTTCCGTGTCGATGATACACGTATATAATTATTATACTATTATATATATTATTACTATTTATATAGACACGGATCTTGGTCTGTGGTATAAGAAAAATAAGTACGCTTCGCCGTGTAAAAACGTGTTTAAGGTCTACTATGACGGAGCAGCGACTATCTGGTCTATGTATACTTAGTATACATAGACAAAAAATTGATGATTTAAATTTAATYCAAGGTGTAGTGGAYRAATTTTCAAAAAACAAAAGGAATTTACAGTTTTTGTTTTAATGTTCATCGATACTATTTTTTAAGTATTTATTCTAGTATAGTAAGTTATTGTATTAAGTTAAGTTATTGACACTTATAGAATTAAATAATAAAGTGAACTATTTATGTTGTATATTTTATATTTTATTAAAAATTGAACTACCAAGTCTAATTTATTTATATATATTATACAGTCATAAAATATTGTTCTACGTAAACTTACACATAGCAGTTAACAGGTTAACAGAATGGTCAATATTATTGCAAATATTTAGTGTCCCCTCCCTGTATTTTCAAAGATGGACGCCCTTGTATATCAGTAAGATGATCTGCATAATAAACAGCCGCATCCAACCAAGTTCCCCACCGTATTATTACCAGTGTTCGGACTTATCTAGATAAATTTATCTAGATATTTATCTAGATAGTTTTTTGTTCATCTTTCAATGTTATTGGCAAATCTTCTGGAGATTTTATGTTATGGTTCAATGGAAACTATTTTTTGTAAATCATAATTATTTTCGGATTCTTGCAAGTCATCTTCAAAAAGCAAAAAATCATCATCCTCCGTGTCAGTTGCATTTTGATGTGACAAATCATTTTGAACCAAAGGTTGTGAAGAAGTATATGTACTGCCTACATCCTCAGCACAAGTTTTTAAAGTTTCAACCAACTTTTCTTTAATACTTATTTTTTCTTCTGAGCTGGCCCAGTTCAACTTAAATTTAGGAATTAAAGCAGATGATATCTGACATGTGCTAGAACTCATGTATCTTTTTCCTATTAATACCAAATACAATACAATAATTGTTTAAAATAGTTTAAGTAATTTTATTATAATTAAAATCAAATACCTTTTTTCTATTCCTTTTTGCAAAGCATTTACCAATGGCGTACAGTAGTTTAAACTTGACAAACTTTTTAATGATTTATTAATCGCAGTTAATGTAGGAAGTAAATATCCAAGACACACATGTTTGTCCCCTTGTAATATGTCTAAGCTTTTTGCGATTGGTTGTATAACCTAAACATTTTAATAAATAGTATAACTTTAGTCTTTAAGTACTTTATGATACTAGATATATTAAACTGTATTGCAATTATGGGAAACAAAAAAATATGAGTTGATAGTTATAAATATATTATATAAATACCTTGCAATACTCAATTAGAAATAAAGTTTCACGTGGTCTAGAAAATGGTGGCAATGACGTTATAGAAAATACTTCATCTATTTTATTCAAATTACTGACAATACATTTAATAGCGTCATAAAATGAATTCCACCTAGAATGTAATTTAGATGTAATATGAGTTTTTTTTATTCAAAATAGTTAAATAATACATAAATATGCACAAGGATATAAATTTACATTAGGTACCTTGTAGCATTAGGAGTAGTTAAATATCTGCCAAGAACATTTTTTATTTGATYAGCATATTGCGTTGATTGGTTCTGCTTGTTAAATAAAGCTTGACATTTCCCAAACACGCGTCTGCTCAATATTTTGTAGGCTTTATCTTTTTCAGCATCTCCAATGTCAGTAGTAGCAATCAAATTCAAAGTATGCGCAGCACACCTTTGATGTTGAGGTAATGTCAAATTAAAATAAATAACATATATAACATATAACATTTTTTACTATCTTATTTTTATATTTATATAAATGATTGTGCCTGCAGTTGACAGTTAAAACCAGTTTTTTTCATTAAATTTTTAAATTCTTCTTTCTTGAGAAGGTATACAACTTAACTGTATAGCTGTAACTAAACCTAACTTGAGTGCTATCATAAAAATGTGGGACAGGATTATGTTTACCATATTGGAATTAAGCAACTCATGGTAGGGTAAGGTTAATATTATATATTACAATTAATATTACAATATTATAAATAATAATAAAGCATAATACTAAAAATATTAAATAATTATCATAAAATAAACACACTCTTCAATATTATGCTTCTGGGTTGCTAATTAAAAATAATTGTACCTGCTGAATTAATATTGGATTCAAAATATAGTGTTTATTAGTGGGCGGAAGGGTTTCTTATGCAATTCCTGATACTAATTAGTAATTTATAAAAACCATAATATTGAAAAATAACACTTACTATSATTACTGACAGTGGAAGGTTGTATAGTGGCATTTTCATTGTAGACTCTACAAGTTAAAGATATAATTATTAATTATATTGTTAGGTTCTTTAAATATTAGTGAAGAATCTAATGTAATAAATAATAATTCATTTTAATTTTCAATGTACAACCTAGGCAGGTTGGTATTATTGTAGTCATTATTCTTTTATTATTTGATGATAATTAAAAAATGTATTAATATATGTTTCATTTAAAACAAGCTAAAAGTAAAAAAAAAACAAATATACAGTAATATAAAAACAACAAAGACAAAAATTGCTGATAATTTAAATCAGTATTTATTATGCTATATTATTTAATTGTTTTGTCAGAATGACTTTAGTAGAATAAATAGTGGGCTGTTTTTTTTTTTATAAATATTATTGGCTATAATTGTTTTGTCAGAATGACTTTAGTAGAATAAATAGTGGGCTGTTTTTTTTTTTATAAATATTATTGGCTATTGCACAAGGTAGGTTATTTAATTTGTCATGAATAAAATATAGGTAATAAATTAATTATATCATGYATGTATTACTTATTAGTGGTTTGGACTTAAAATATATATAATTTTTTACTATGTATTGTTGTAGATATTAGATTAAAGTATTTTACCTGAAAGCTTTCACAAAGTTTCCCGCGTTATCAGTTACAATGAGAGATGTCTTATTCTGAATATTAAATTCCGATAATACTTTGTCAATCATTTATCAGCTATATTGTCATATGTATGTTTTCCATACATTCTCCTACAAGCAAGTCCTTTTGATGTACGCTCTAATGTGGTTTGATTTAACCAGTGTACTGTGAACCCCATGTAAGACCTATATAAAAGAACACAGTTTTTAATATTATTATGAAATAAATAAATTAGAAATGTCAAATGTACATCATTGTTATTACTCATTTAACATAAAATAATATTTATCTATATATTTACCGGTGAAATACAGACCAGCAATCTGCAGTGATACATACAAAATAAACTTGAGATAATTCATCTTTTAACGATGCAGTCATATCATTATACTCAGATACTATATCTCGCATAAAATTTCTTCTAGATGGTGGAACTCTGTTGGATGTCAGCTTACAATATTTAATGAATCCCGGATGTTCAATTAATGAAAAAGGTGATAATGTGCTCACAATAAGTTCAATATTAGCCTTGTCGAATTCGGTTTGGTTCAATTTTTTTTGAGATTTTTCCACCTTCATCTAGCTTTAACTGTTTATATGCAGCAGGATTATCATCAATATTATTCCTTTTTTTTCCACACTTATTAAACTCTGATAATTGACTTGGATGAATATGCTGTAGATAATTATTGTTAAAAATTATAAAATTATAATTCATTTAATAAAAGAACTACATGCCTAGGTACTGTGGCGCAGATGGTCAGACTGATTACTATTATTATTAGGTATTATTATTATTATTATTATTATTTGTTAATGTTTTATGTTACTATCTCTGGCAAAAACTTAGGTTAGATATATATTTTTTTCTCTTCTTACAAAAAGGAAGCGTGTGTTGTTATTTTTTCATATAAAGGCGTTACTTATATAAAATTTGTTACTTAATAAAATTATATTACATTGCCTACAATGTGGTGACCTCGACGTTAAACATGAACAACGACAATCAACAAACACAACAGGTTCAACAGCCAACTTTCATACACTATTTCAAGGCACCACCATTTTGGGTACAGAATCCAAAAATGTGGTTCATTCAATTGGAGTCCCGTTTTGTCACAGCAAATATCACTGATGACGAGACAAAGTTTCATTACGTCGTCGGTGCGTTAGACGGAGACATCCTAACRCACGTATCGGATATTCTCGAAAAACCACCTGTAAGCAATAAGTACTTAAAACGAAAACAGGTACTCGCCGAGCGTTTATCCGAGTCTGCGGAGAAAAAGCTTAAAAAGTTATTGCGCAATTTAGAACTAGGCGATAAAAAACCGTCATATTTGMTTCGGGAGATGAAGCAGTTAGCAGGTGACCAGTTAGCCGACGATATGCTGAAAAATCTATGGTTACAGCGCCTACCTGTACAAGTGCAAGCCGTACTTACAACCAGCACAGATTCGCTATCTATGACAGAACAGAAATTAAATGGAACGAAGTTACTGAGAGTGCTTTTCAAGCGTGCAAAACATCTTTAACAAATGCAGTGTTACTAGCACATCCAAAGAGTTCAGCACCGTTGGCAGTTAAAGTTGACGCATCAGATTTTGCTGTCGGGGGTGTTTTGGAACAACAAGAAGAAGAAAACCAAAATTGGAGACCGTTAGCATTTTTTTCAAAGAAGTTAAGTACCACACAACAAAAGTATAGCACCTATGACAGAGAACTACTCGCTATATATCTCACTATCAAACAATTTAAATATATGTTACAAGGGAGACATTTTATAGTTTGGACAGACCATAAGCCTCTKACATATGCTTTCAATCAAAGATTAGACAAGTGCTCTCCAAGGCAATTTAGACATCTAGATTATATGTATTGGACAGTTTACCACTGAAATAAAACACATTCCTGGTAAACAAAATGTAAGTGCAGATCTAATGTCAAGAATTGAACAAATAAATGTGAATAAGTTAAACTATGAAGAGATATCAAACGCTCAAGAAGAGGATCAAGAACTTAAAAACTTACTCAATGGATCTACTAGTCTGAAATTAAGTAAAGTAGAGCTTCCTGAGTCCAAGATTTCACTAGTATGTGACACCTCAACAGGTGTAGTACGACCATACATTCCTGTTACACACCGTAAACTAGTATTTGATATAATACACGGACTATCTCACCCTGGATGCAAAGCAACAACTAAGTTAATAAAAGCCAAATTTGTCTGGGCAAATGTAAACAAAGATGTCGCATTTTGGGTTAAGAACTGCATTCCTTGTCAAACATCAAAAGTTTCAAGACATGTCGTTTCAGCACCAGCAAGTTTTACAGTACCTGCAGAGCGTTTCCGAAACATTCATATTGATTTAGTTGGACCGCTACCATCATGCCAAGGATACCGTTATTGCTTAACTTGTGTAGACCGGTACACACATTGGCCTGAAGTCTTACCTATCCAAGACATAGCTGCTGAAACGGTAGCAAAAGCATTATATACTGGGTGGATAACACGTTTTGGAGTGCCAGAAGTTATTACCACAGATCAAGGTACTCAATTTGAATCACTGACTTTCAATAACACTATTAAACTTCTAGGTATAAAGCGGGTCAGAACAACGGCATACCATCCTCAAGCAAACGGGTTGGTGGAGCGGCTGCATAGGCCTCAAAGCAGCAATCAAGTGTTACAATTCACAAAACTGGGTTGATATTATACCAAGTGTGCTATTTGGTATGCGCAATAGCATGAAGGAGGATATAAATACTACATCAGCAGAGTTGGTATATGGGTGCACGTTAAGGTTACCAGGGGAGTTTATTACACCTGGTGACGTCCACGAAGACCAAGGAACGTATGCTGCCAAACTGCGTTTTTGGTTTGATCAACTATGGCCAACATCAACATCTGCCCACGGAAAAAAAACATATTTGTGTACAAGGATCTGAGCAATGCAAATTATGTTTTCCTAAGGAAAGACCATGGRAAAAAACCATTAGAGAGACCATATGATGGGCCATTTAAAGTTTTGGACAGAACGAGCAAAACCATGACGTTACAGATCGGAAATAAGGAGAAGAAAGTGTCAATAGATAGAGTCAAACCAGCATACAGTAGAACYTCATTAATCCGGACTAATTGGGGCTCTAGGTTGTCCGAATTAATGAAAGTCCGGATTAAACAAAATAACCAAAAATCGTAAATTATAAACTTATAAAAATGTTATTGCATATTTTATTAAACCATATATTATTATTATATTATTAAAAAAAATAGTAGATWCATACATAATTGTATTACATACATAGTATTAAGGCACACTTTCGTTATTCACATTTGACACTGGTTTGAAAAAACTGCTATCTTTGGTTGTCTTCCTTTCACAGTGATTTCTTTAACGATTAACTCGCGAAGATGCCTTAGATGCTCATAATATGCAGATATGTTTTCATCGTTATTATCTTCAATGTATTTGATGACAATGTTTAGATGATCTTTTATTTCACCAAGTTTTGGCTTAGGGTTTACATTATCATCTGCTTCATCCTGATCATATTCATCCGTTTCAGAGTTTTCTGTAGCAGTCACACTTTCAACAATCTCCTCCTCTGTTAAAATATGATAACCTAGATCATATTCATCTGCTTCTAACYACAGCTCAATGTCTTCCAATGTAGCTGAATTTTCACCTCCTTGGTGGAAAATGTTATGAAAATCTTCTGTTTCTAATTCAGCCGTATCTGGTTCAACCTCTTCATTTATTAAAAGTTTTTTMCACGAGTTAATCAAAGTTGAAGGTTTTATATCTTTGACAGCAGATGCGGAATTATAAATCATTGATCTGATATTGTAATTTTTGTGATTCTGTAACGTTTTATAACYTCTTCTATCTTCTTCTCCTGCAGCTGGTTCCTCGACTTCCAAAATTTCATTTAAAAGCTTCTTTTTATATAGACGTTTGGCTGTGTAAATGACGCCTTGATCCATAGGCTGAATCAGAGAGGTTGTGTTTGCTGGCAAAAACATRMACGTAATCTTTTTATCATCGCTAGTGAGCTGTTCAACTTGTGGATGTGCTGGACAATTGTCCAGTAGAACTAAGGCCTTCACTTTATCGTTAGGAATTTTCAAAATTTCTGTTTGATATCTTCTAATTTCTGGCACTGCTTTTTTGTGAAACCAATCTAATGTAATGTCTGAAGTGAACCATGCGCTTTTCGAGTTGTAGTAGTGAACTGGTAACGTGTCCATAATATTTTTTATTGCACGTGGTTTTTTACTTTTCCTACAATCACAGGTTTTAACATATGACTTCCATCAGCATTAGCGCACAGCAATGCAGATACTCGATCTTTACTGATCTTCCTACCAGGCGTGTTTTTATCAGCTTTGGACGCTTGGGTACTGTCTGGTAATGCTCTCCAATACAACCCTGTCTCGTCATAATTGTACAGTTGCGAAGGTAGTATGTTTTCAGCTTTTAAAATATCATTCAAGTTTTTTCTGAATGGCTCAACAGCTTCATTGTCTGCACTAAGACTTTCACCACATATTTTTKTATTTGTTATGTTGTGACGCCTTCTAAACCTAAACAGCCATCCTGAACTGGCTTTAAAGTTATTTATGTTCAACTGCTTAGCTAATCTATCCGCTGCAGCCTGAATTTCAATTCCACGGACTGCCAATCCAGAAGAACGAAGTTGACAAAACCATTTGTAAACTGCATCATMAAGGGATTGATCTAGTGGCAACCGCATTCTCTTCACAACACTTGTTTCTTTTTCTACATTAAATTTCAGAATAAATTTTCTTATCTCGTCTTTTTTCTTTCTTATGTCTGAGACGGTTTGTTTAGCTATCCCATATTGCGCACAAATGCTTGACACAGATGCTCCTTTTTCGAGTTTTTCAATAACACAGAGTTTATCGTTAAGAGAAAGAGACATATGCTTACGCTTTTTACCTTGACTAGGTTTACTTAACTACATCACAGTAATATGTATAAAAACGGACGAAGTATAAATTACGAAATGATAAACAAAACAAAAGCACATACGAAAGGTACGAAACACTCCAAAGCGTATTAAGCAACCGACTGACGTACCGAACATATACGTATACATATATATAAATGGATTATATGTAATTAGATAACTTTAATGACAATTGGTATTGATAAATATGTTATCGCAATAACCCGCATTTATGGGAAATTTGTAGAACTCGTTTTCATGTTTATTTTAATCTACGGGGAAAACTAGCGTAATTTCTTATTTACGCATTATAAACGGCTGTCCGGATTAAGCGGAGTCCGGACTAATGAGGTCCGGATTAATGAGGTTCTACTGTATATTGAGGCACCAGCCCAACAATCCCTTAACCAAGGCCACATATCGCAGACACTACCAATCCGGATAGGACTAAGCCAAAACCAGTCGCCCCAAGGAAGGACAAAGGAAAAGGAAAAAACAGATGCACCACCCGACCAAAGAACAACTCGGAGTGGCCGTCCAGTCAAACTACCAGTGAGGTTCAGAAACTGACCCCTCACTGAAGGGGGAGTATGTGGCGCAAATGGTCAGACTGATTACTATTATTATTATTATTATTAT